TTTTTCTACATTGAATATTTTAATATAAATTGGATGAAAAAAGTTCAGACAATGAACACAGCCATTCCATCTCATATTTATTTTATTCTCATTCGGGTTCACCGAAATTATTTTGTTTTTATTTTTACCCATTAAATTTTATATTTGTCCGTTTATACGCACAATGAATTTATCTACAGACAAAATAAGTAAAGATCCTGACACAAATTCTTAATAATACAAAAATGAGAAACCGAAATAAAGAAGTAAAAAAAAATAAGAAAGAAAAAACATAAAAACAACCTTTTAATTGCACAACCGATGAATGACATCATACCACCACAGGAATAAAACAGTAAAAAAAGAAAAAAAAATAGCAATAAAATTAAAAAAAAAAATTTACAATTTTAAAAAATTCCTAAGTCCGTATAAAAAAAAATTTTCCTTCCATGTGTGCAAATATTTTCACATACATGTATAAATTAGATTTCTGTACAACATACAAAATATGTGTGTGATTTTCAAGAAAAAAAAAAAGGAAAAAATTCACCACATCTCATTCACCAAAAGCCTGAATTTTAAAAATATAAAAATTGTTTGTGGTGTGGTGTAGCCTTCGTTATTTGCAATTTTTCGTATTTTAGCAATTTCAGTTTTCTTGTTTGACATTTTTTATATTAAAAGTACAAAACCACTTTCAAATTGCTAGCAATTACTATAAAACATGAATTTTCGTTTTGTTGTTTATGTTTAATTTTTTTTTTCTATAGCGGTGAATTATAACTTGAAAAACCGCCAATCGACAAAATTCCAATTTCTGGAAAAATGAACTGCATATCGGAATTTTTTTTATTACTTTATACTTACACTCATACTAGATTTTAATAAAAAAACAAAATTACAAAAAAAAAAATAATTTTTTTATTCCTCACCTGTATGCGAAAAAAATTTATAAAATACAGGTGAAAAAGACACATGAAAAAGAAACTCTTTTACCTTTTGTATTATTGAATTTGAGTTGAATTTTTATATTAAATTTGAGTGATTCTTAATCTTTTCTCAACTGAAAATGTTGCCAATATGCTTAAAAGATTTTGTAGTAGAAAATTTTTGTAACTTAAATTTGTTTTTAAAATTTAATTTTTTAAGATTATTATAAAATTGTGAATTATTATAAATAAGAAATGTGAAGTATTGTAATTTTAAAAATTGAGAATTATTGGTTTATATACTGTTATATTATTCATTATAATTGGTTTATATACTGTACTACTGTAATTATATAATGTCGAAAAAATGTTAAAGTGTAAAAACCCGCTCAGTTCAATATCAACCATCTAATCCATCTGTATTAGCAAATTTTATTTCAATCATCTTCCGCTTGGAACTCAAACGCGACTGCTACTGTGCACTTTCTTAAAGACTTTATATAAAAATATGTATATATATACCAGTGTAAATTTTGATTTGCTTATTGCGTGCCGTTTCAATTTTGTTTGAGTATTTAGAGTGCAAGTATAAATGCTATAAATATTTTTTTTTTTTTAAAAATATAAGAAACGAACACACTCTTCTAATCTCTTTTAAATCACTCAAATTTTACTTAATATTTCAACTCAACTTGAAAATAAAAAACTAAACAAAAACTACTCCATTATTATTGACTCACACTTAAGAAAATTTTAATTCGATATTTTACTACCATAATATATTTTTATAATTTAAATACAAATACTAAGAAAAATTTTTCATATACATATAATTATTTAAAAATATTATTTTGATACCTAGAATTCGAAGACAAGTCAACTTTCCTAACATATTAACTTGTATATTTTTATCTTCAAGAAGCACACATACGCACGCACGCTGTATGTCAATACACAGAGAAAATATGCAAACATATATAAAAGGTAGAAAATAAAAAAAAAAATTAATTCATTTTTTTTTTTATTTTTCTTTTTTTTCCATATCTAAATAACTGAAAACTTAACTGGTTCCTTCTGCCAAGTAATCGCTACTTACATTTTTTTTCTTAAACGAAATCAGTTAGTGAGTATTTGGCCTTCGGATTGAATGGTACATTTTATTTTTTGTCTTTGGAATATAAGCAAGAACTAAAAAAAAAATTTCTTTTTTTATTATTTTTAATAATTTACAATATAATTATTATTTATAATAAAAATATATTATTAAACTAATTTAAAAATAAACTGAAAATTTCAATTATTATTGGTTTGGAATTGGAAAAATAAAATAAATAAATTAAATATTTTATTAAAACGAAAGACTTCAATGCTGGATTTAATTTTGTTATACACATTAATTAATAACATTTCATCCTTTAAAAATTATAAAACTATTTAATTTAAAATTAAAATAAAAATAAATAAATACAATAAATTTGTGATTTTATTTTATAAAAAAAAAATTAATTTAGAAATTTTAAATAGCAAGTGTTATATTAATGCAAAAACCAAAAAAAAAATTTAAAACTTTTTTGAATTATGACAGAGTGAATAAAAAGAAGGATAGCGTGTTAAACTTGTAATAAAAAATGATTTTAAAAAATTCTCATGTCATAATATAACAGTTTTGCTTTAAATAGTAATTTTTATTATTACTTTAAAAATTTATTTTCTTCAAAAAAAAAATTTCCTTAGAAAAAAATAATTTAAAAAAATATTCAATTTGGATTTTATATAGAGGAGGAAGGAAAATATTTCAAGAGCTTCATTCTCATATTGGATACAAAAACAGAAAAAAAATAATAATAAATGTTATACAGAAAATATTTTTATAAACTCTTAGAATTTAAGAGTCTATAATAAATAAAATTGGAGTTGAAAACACGAAAAATTTTAATATTTTTTCCAACTTTTAATTTTTTATTAAAGTGTGTAGCTCGCAGCATTTTTTCATTTTTTTGTATAAAAGATTTTTTTTTTTGTTTTACTTTTTTAAATAGAATGGTATTTGTTACAAAGAGAAAATGTAATACTTTTTTTTATGCTGTTGTTTTTATTTTTTTTTCAAGAAAGAAGGAATTAGCATAAGGAGAAATTTTAAAACTTTTGAAGTTTGAATCAAACTTAGTATATATATGTATAACGTTAAAGAAAAATTTAATCAAATATAACATTATTATATGGAAGATAAAGAAGGAGAATAAATTAATATTTTATTTTCATAGTCATTTCAGTATAATGCATATTACATATAATATTATTATTATTCTTTAATTTATTATAACTTTCATAATATTATTATTATAAAATTGTTATTAATATAGAATAATAGTGATCATTGAAAAAAGAGTAAATTACAATGTAATGTGCATGTATACAGTAAATTATATAAATTATACAGCTTCTATACCTATTTATTAATGTTATACATATTATATGCATGTATACAAGTAGAACATATTTGCAATAAAATAGATTACTAGTATAATAGATTTATATGATTAAAGTAAACATTTAAATGAGCATCAATTTGAATAAAATATAACATTTATAATATATAGAGAAAAGTATTATAATATAACAGTTTTATAATAATTTTTTTTATAATAGCTACATAATTTGAGTAATTTTTAACAAACATTTGAATTGTTTTTATAAGATATAAATATTAGTTAGAAAAATAATATTTAAAAACTATTAAAATTTTAAGGCTGATTAAGGCTATCCATGTTATAGATAATTGTAGTCATAAATTTCAAACACTATCACTATCCTGAATTCTGTATGTTCTCTAAATTGTACATTAGAATTTACATAAACAAAGTCTTGGGAAACATTTTTAAATATGATGCAATTATAAATGGCAAAAAAAAATATTATGGTAACACAGGAACATTATTACATAAAAAACAACTTATATTAAGTATATTGTTTTGAATTATTACTTAAAATTTTAACCCTTTTATTGAACTTTGTAACAATTTTACAAAAAAAATTTACATTATTTAATATAATATGCAATAATTGTAATAATTAACTTTGAAATTCTTTTTTGTTTTATTTAAGTAGCTTATTTAATAATAGTTATTTTTTTATAACAACACTCTTTCGAGTTCAAATTTAATTAAAGTTAATGACCTTTTTTAATGATTACAAATACATAATATGTATAGGAGTAAAAATATTATCTAATGAGTTTTTATGAATTAAAGAGTCTTTAATTATACATATGTATCTAGACATTTTTCTAATTTAAAAGAAAATTAATTACTTCTGTTTTACCATAATGATAATTAATTAGGTTAATTTAAATTACTTTCAAATTATCTTCAAAAATATTAGTTTTATTATTAGAAATTTACGATATTAGGAACCTGTTACATTACCTAATAGCTAATTAATCATTGTAAAGCATTCGCATTGCAGTTCGATATTTTTTAATTATTTGACTTAGATTATTATATTTAAATTTAAAAGACATGAGAAAATTTTTTATCATTTTAATATTTCGTTTTCAATTGGACAAAATTATTTCTGAAATATTTTATTCAAAATTATTGAACGTATAATAAAAAGAAAACTATTATATTAAAAAAAAACTTTAAAAAATATTATAATTATCCAAAACTTTTACAATATTTTATATTTTTAACAGTATTTTAAATTTGAAATATTCTAAAATCAATAAATATTTCAGGTGAATTTCGGCATTTTCTATAAATATAAATAAAAAGTAAATGTGGCCAGATACTATTTTTTTTTGTTTTAATTTATTATTATTTTTTTAAATTTTAAAAACTTCATCAGAGTGTTTTGTAAAATAATGTAATTTTTATTATTTTAAAATTAATGCAGAATTAATTATTTATTAATAAAATACAAAAGAATAAAGTAAACAAAATTTTTTGGTGAATAAATACGAAAAAATTAAAAAAAATTGTTGCCATATTATATTTTAATTATATATTGAAAGAAAAATTAAAAATATTTATTGAATGTTTCATATTGAAGTTAACCGGATAAATTGGATTGTTAAATATTTCAAGTATATTCTATATTAAATTGGGATTATTTTAATACAAAAAATTAAGGATTAAAAAATTCTATTGGATTACCAGTTGAAAAAGGGATTTAAAATCTTAAAGGTAAATTTATTTTTTTACATTTTTTAAATTCAATATTAAATTATTTATTTTAAATCTAATTTTTTTTAATTCAAATTATTCAATTTATTTTAGTTTCAATATTAAAAATTATTGAACAATATATTTTCAAAATTTGCCCAAAAAAAATTATTTAATTTTAACTTATTTTCAAAATATTTAGAATTGTTAGTAGTTTTTGAAAGTTTTATTGAAATTTTTAAATAAATTATATTAATTATAATAAATATATTAACTAAATATTGATTACAAATTTAAATAACAAATAAATTTGTTGTATAACAAGTATAAATTTTTAAGCCGGGTAATAATTTTTAAATGAATCATAATCTAATTTCAAATTTGTTGCTCTAGGCTATAGACTTTCATAAAATAATATTGAAAGTCTAAAATTAAGTATGAAAAGAAAATATTTAAAAAAAACTATACTTGTTTTCTAGAATATTACATTTTTTTAACTTTAAAATACTTAATTGATTATTGTAATTATCAAGAAAAACAAGAGCATTTTAGAAACTAGTTTAAAGTACCTACTAGTTTCTTGCAATAAAACATATACTGACATAATTAATTGTAATTTTTAATAAATATTTATTTTATTAACTAGCTTAAATTTAAACAATACTATATTTTGGCACACCAAATTTATAATATTCTAATTCTAGAAGTCAATTAATCTATAAAGCAAATGTAATAAGCACCTTCATTTTTATTCATAAAACAAAAAATCATTAATTTTCATGATATCTTAAATTTTTATTAATTTTAAAATTTAAGAACATCCTGTTTGAATGAAATATGTAATTTTTTATTTTTTACTTGCAATATCTTAAAATTTCAAAAATTTTACAATATTTTATCGTTAATCATTATTATTATTAATAATTATTACATGAATATTATAAAATAATCTAAATACCAAACAATTCTAATCTATAAATTTATACAAAAAATTCAAATTAAGTACAAAAATATTTGTATGGAAAAACCTTATTAAATTTATTTTGCCTCATGTTTAAAATTCTTTTAAAATCGTGTGCATCTACATAAATATAATTAAATATAGGAACCTATACCTACTAATATGAGCATGTATATTATGTGGATAAGGTGCGGTTTCGCTTGAAATTTCCATCAAAATAATATGGTATATGGATGGATGAGACCATAAAAAAGAATATATAAAGTTTGAATTTTTCTTCATTCATTTTTGATATGCATATATTTACTAAGAATTGGTATATTATTGTGGGTATATTATGCCTTAAAACTTTCCAAATTTCAAAAAACAAAAAAAGGTTCATATATGAATATTTTTAATATAATACAAAAATATAATATAATAATAACAATAAACGAGAAGAGACGCGATAAAAGTAGAACTATAAGTGAAACATACATGAAATAAAAAACAAAAAAGACAATCCCCTGAGGGTGCATAAAGAATTTTAATCCCAAAGAATTCACGAAATACCTATGTTATGCTTACATTTTCATTTATTAATATTTACCTGAAAATTTTTGTTTTTTGCTTTAAATTCACATAGTTCAGGTGTATCTTTTACTTATTTCTCATATTATATACAGCAATGTAGCATGTACAGCGTCCTGTATATAATATAAAACTAGCATGTTCCCTAATAGAATAAACAAAACATATAAAATATTGAATGAAAGCATTATAGATGGAAGGGATCATTATTTTGATTAATTTTGTTTTTAGATCTAGTGTACTCTTGCATATATACAAGTTTGTTAAATATGTGTGCATGGAATAAAATAAAAAAAAATTAATTTAAAAATATTTATGTATGTTTTATAATTTAAAAAAAATGGAGATGATTTTGGGTTGATTGTCATATTTTTTATCTTTTTAAAGTAATGTGATGATGACATGAGTTGAATATAACAAAATTTGTTAGGGTCTAATTTTGTGGGCATAATGCATTAATATAAGTTTTATGTTATATGCTTTGATTGATTCTGTCTGGAAATTTTTAAGAATTTTATATTTTAATAACGACAGAACAAAAGTATTATAACTCAAAAAAAAAATTGATTTGGAGAAAAATTGAAAAATAAATCTAAATTATATGAAAAGGATTATAAAATATATATACATATGTACATAATTGTAAAAGTTACAAGTTGGTTACCTTTAAATCTACATTAAAATTGTTAATACAAATGATAAATAAATGTAAATAGCTATCAATTTTATTAGAATCTAAAAAATTTAATTTTGTGAGTTACAATATTTTTATTATAGAGGTACAATATGTGCATGATGTCATGAATATCCCATAAATATACTTAATTTTTTTAAATTGTTATTTATTTTCTCGAATATAATTCATTCCATTCAATACACACATATTCCTATAGCTTCTTATTATATATTAAGAGTGTGCGAAGATTAGAATTCAAAGGATAACGAAAAAAAAATGTTTTAACTTAGTGCTGTTGTTCAATTTTGTTGTTATATAACAATTTTTTAAGATGATTTTGGGTGAATTTAATTTTGTGGAATTCAGAATTTGGTTGATATTGTGGAATTATGATAATTTTTGGTTGATTTTTTCTTTTGTTTCGAGTTCAAGGTTAAATTTAGTTGAATTTGATTGAGATTAATTTTGTTTGACATATTAATTGTTTATCTTTATTCTACCTACAATTTTTTTTGTTATAATAAACCCATAAATTTCGATTTTTAGAATATTTACTTTAAAGTAGCTTAGAAAATGAATCTTTTGATTTATGTTAAGGAATGTGTTTTGATTATAGTTAGCAGTAAGTAATTATTTTTTAATAAAATTGACTTAGAATATAGAATATACAAGGCTCATAAGCTATTTTAAAATCACTAAAATTAATATAAACATATAAAATTATTAAATTTGGAAGTTAACGTACACATTAAAAAAATTTAAAATTACAAGCGATTAGAAAGTGATCAATGCATAAAATTGTTACCTTAATATTTTACAAATTGGTACGAACAAAAACTTTAAATAAATTTAATACATAATATTGGAATCATATTTGATTTGCTAAAAATTAAAATAAAAATCCCTACTAAAATAATCGTAAAATTTTACTTTTTAAGAGCAATAAATTTGAAATTTTTTGGAAATTCAACTTGAGTTCAACTTTTAAAAATAATGCAAAATTTTGATTTTTTCTTATAAATTCAAATTATTGCAAGATTATGTGTGATTTTATTCAAATAATACATATATTTTTGAATGAATAAAATATTTGAACCTCTAAGTAACAATTTTCTATTAAAGTTTTTGAGTTCCTATACAATATAATATTGAATAGGTGAGAGTTTTTTGAGGAAAAATAATTCATATGCTATTTACTTGCATACTACTCTATTGTATTGTTTTATATTGTATAGAAATGTATTTTTTTTCAATTCTTAATTATGTTAAAGTAATATCAAACCGATGAAAAAAACCATAATTATATTTTGCATAATTTTTTGAATTTAAGTTATTAGTTTACTAAGTTATTAAAATACAATAATTTTTATTTTGCATAATCATGTAAGGAAACAAATAGAAATAAATTAAATTTTTTTTTTATTTTTGCATTATAATTAAGCAATTGCTATAATAATTTCCTTAAAATATTAGATAAAAATTGAGTTAGAAAAGTGAAAAAAATCCGGAATTTGATTTTTAATTTATATTTATATAATACATACATAATATATGTGTAAGTACAAAAATTTTGTATAAACTATGGTTTTTTAAAATTATCTTTGCAAAATTTTTATATTTGCGCATATTTTGCTTTCAATTTTATACGGAATTTTCGTAAATTCCGCATAATATTAAGTATTAATAATGGAAAAAATTGAAATTAGTTCAGTGGACTGCAAATTAAAATTATTTGTACATGAAAAAAAAACTTAAAATGCAATTTTACAATAAATTAATTAAAACATTGAATTAGTACTCGAAATATGGTTCTTATATAATACTTGACATAATTTAATCTGTTACAAAAGGTTCAAAACAAGTTATTCTCAATCACAAATATAACATATTCCAATGTTTAATTTCCTCGTCATAATATCTATAAAAATTTTCAAACTTCAGGTAATTAAATTATAGCGACAAAAATGCTCTTCAAAAAAATTTTAATTGTTTTTCGCAAAACTTTGAAAATCTCATTAAATTTCAAAAAGTATTAAAACTAATGAGGAACATTTTAAAACAAAAAATTTGGATTTTCCTCAAAAATGATCTTTTAAATCTTTAAACTTCAATTAATTCGAAATTGCTAGCATCGAGCAATAAAATTTTCCATTATGAACTTAAATATTGATTTATTAATTTTCTAATTAAATGCAATTTACTTACAATTAATAAATTTAAACAAAAAATGCCATTTGGTACTTACTAAATATCATTAATTAGTTTAACATATACTAAAGTTACATGCTAAAACTCGTTATATATATGTATAGTACAGTGCAAAATTTATTTTGTAAACTAGTATGTGATTCATAATGTGATTCACATTAATTGTTTTATATTATTTATGTGCGTATTTGTACCGTTAAAATGATTATTATTTTAAAAATGTTTAAAATGATCATTATTTTGGTTGTGTTATAAATAAACGGATATGAATTTCCGAAAATAAAATTTAGTAAGTCTAAAACACAAAATCTAGTAAGTCTAAAAACGATAATTTACATTTAAGTAACAGAATTGTTGTATTTCAATTTTCTTTTTTAAAATTAAAAATAACGTTGTTCTAAAGTTTCATATTCTGCCTATTTACACTTAATACCTTTTTGTTATTGCAACAAACCTAAATTTGAATATTAAGTTTTTACAAAAATGGTTAACAATTTTTTATTGTTTTTAATTTTTATATTCTTAAAGCACGTTATTTGGCAATTTAGCACGTTTCTTATTGAGTTGAAAACTATTTTTTTACATTATGATTCAAAAAGACCACAA